GGTTTTTATAAATCTCCTGAATTGTCTCTGATGATTAAGATGTAATGTCATATTGTAATGACTGAAAGTTTTGGGTTGATGATTTACCTTGAAGACTCACTTTAAATTAAATCTAATTAAATTTAAATTAAATATTGTTTAGTAGAGATACATTTATATATCAGCAAAAAAAATGGGCTAGGTAAATTGTGGAGGAAGAAAACTAAGTAATTCTGCAATTTACATGGCCTGTCTTTTGACAATTGATACTTTAAGTAACAAACTGGCTTCTTTCTTCTTGAGATTGATTTTGATGGGGGAAGGATACTGCATAATATGTAGCATTCAACTAATCTATTTTGTTGATTTGGCAGTATAAAAAGATTCATAGATAATGAATCTCCATACTCTTGAAGATACTTTTATGTACGCTGCACTGCTTCTGGATTTATACTGTTGCGTTCTATTAAAGTAGGACTTTCTCCTAACAGTGTGTATTAACAATTGGAAAATTTCCTATCAGTAGCCTGGCACCATCTTGACAGCCCTATGTTCTGCTTCTACCTTGCTAATTGTTTCCTTGGGATTATTTGGATTGTGTAGAAAGCTTTTTGCAAATCCTCTTATTACTGAAGTCATTGTTGCCAGCAGGAATAAGATTAAAGGTGCTTAAGTCTGTAGAGTTGTTTCTAATTTGTACGTGTCATTTCAGTGGCATTTTAACAGAACTCTGTCTCTTGTCCCTCCCTTTTCCCCTGGTACTATCTCAAGTTAGGTCCAAGAAGCCAGGCCATTGGAAGAAATCTCATTTTATCCTCCTAATTATTATGCTGGCACTCAGGAGATAATTTTTCCCTTCATGCACTGCCAATTAATATGCAAATAGGCTGATAAATATTTATGCAATGATTTAAATTATGCAGGGAGTGCTTTCAGTGTATTCTGTAAATGAATTGTTCGTGGACTTCAAAGTGCTGGCTGCTGTGCTAACGAGGAGAGATTTGCATAAGGCCCTAATCACACGCATACTGATTAAGCTTCATTATGGAAACTGCCAGCTGCAATCTTTGTTTCTATTTTATTACAAAAAGGGGAACTTTTCATGCTTCAGTTGCCTTGACAATGTCAGTCCTAGCTGGTAGGAGAGACTAAAACTCCTCTGAGCAACTGAAGTTTCCTTATTCAGTTGAAGATTGCTATGGTGTAACTGAAGTTGTATTTTGCTTCTCCCCTTAATCCACTTTCCACCCCCACCCCTCTTGTTCTCTTAAGAACACAGTGTAGATTTGTTAGAAGTAGTAGTACCTTCTTTTCCCCACCCCAAACTGCTACCTATTTCTTCCTTGCTTTGGATTGTCTTCACCTCTAGAAGATTTCACAGCAATGCTGGACTGCAATGACTATGTTCTAGGTGGGTACCAGCACAGTTCTTTCTTAGAAGCTTTAATATGGAAATAGCGTGTGTGGGGTTGACTATGCATAAATGCTTAATCGCATATGCAACCAGTGCGGGGGAGGGGGAAAGCTGGATTGAGCAGGGAAGGAGGAAAGTATTTGCAAAGCACAAGCATATTGAATTTATAGTAGGTCCCTCCCTACAACTAGCTCTTCTGGTTCAGAGGGTATTTTCAGTAAATAGTGTGGATTTAGAATTCATTTTGAATGGAGGACGTTTTTGGTTTTTGGAAATTTCCTTTGAGAGCATTTCATATAGTTCTAAAAACATTTTATATCTGAAACAAGGTATAAACTGTGCCTAAATCATATGTATACATTAATAAAAATGTTTTGCATACCTAATGTGAATGTCTTCTACAAAAACCAAAAACCCTTAGTGAAAAATAAAGTGGAACCATAGTACAGAATCGTTCTCATAAATATTAATGCAGAAGGTAATTGCAGTGATTACTGCAATAGATCTGCTAATCAGTTTTTAGATTTTTACAAGCTATTAACTGTTTTCAAATTTTGGCTAATATTAGCCCTCCTTTATTTTTTAATCAGAAGACTACAATTTCAAGTGTTGGAAAGCCTATTTTTAGAGTTTTCCCTATAGAACAGCAAGACTTTTGGGGAGGGAGAAGTTCCAGCTTAACATATAAACTGTCTTCAGTGACTAAGATTTAAAATAGATTTGAGGCACTTTGGTTTTTAGACATGATGGCTCATGGTGGCCGTATTTTGTGTGGAGCTTTGTTTATTTATATGCAGAGTTATTGAAACCTTCTAGTCACTCGGAAAGTTGGATGATATGATATGAACTCCAGGACTTGGATATCTTGTATTTAAAACTTTTGCAAATGACTTTTACTCCTGTATTATTTTCCCTGCTTGAGAATTGAGGCTGTTCCTATCACCTTTTCAGTTGCCAAGGATAAAGTAAAATGTTACTTCTGGAAAAGTTTGAATGCTTATGCAGAAAGGATGGCCTAAACCCAGGGTAGTAATAATATTTGTCTAGCACAGTAAAAAAACCACTATGTGAAGGATGAATGATAACAGCAAATTGATGTTAAGAATTCAATCCAGTAGCAACTGTGGACAGCATATGGATTCATTATGTATAGTCAGCTCAGTGTCATAGACCTATATTGTTTATATTGCCCAGAGAGAGAAAAAACTTCAGACATCAAAAAAGAATTTACTTGTATTTACTCTTTTACATTTACTAAATAGGGAATTCACGACGGGAAAGGAAAGGAAAATACTTTTTGAAATATTTTTAGTATTTTATTTTAGAATTAGACATGATATCTGTTAATGTCAGTTAACAGTAAATACCATTTAAATAGTCTTCCCGTTGTTGTTGTACTGTTAATCAGAATTTTATTGTTTTATTCTTTTGTGTATGTGAAATAATTTTGTTAAATGGCTTTGAAGCTCTTGACAATTCAACAGAAAATCCTTAGAAGTGTCACATAAAATATCTGTGACATCATCTTTAATTTATAGATGTGGAAATTAGGAGATGAATTTGTACAAGGTCAGGCTCATGACTTAAGAATTATGCTTACTTTGTTTCTATGGTGTCCATGTATATGAGAAAATTGTTCCCCTTTTTATGAATGTTAACTGTTTCATCATTTTTTCTACTTACCTTTAAAATATATTCTAAAGAAGGCATTGAGCAGTTTGTATGCTTAATGGTGTATTCTATTACAGTTGTGATCTTTGTTGACTTTCATAAGATTTTGGTTAAGTCATTCAGAAAGCTGATTTTCATTAAGTTGTACACCTGCTCCTTTCAAACCTTACTGTGCTTTCAGATGATACTTAAATTTTTCTGGACAGTGGGGGAAGGAAGTTGTAGAACTGCCCTCGTTCATGAACACAAACATACAAATGTTAACTCTTTGAAGAACAAACTAACAATATGCTAGAACTGCCTAAACCCATAAAATGAACATCAGTTATAAAAACTTCTGTATTAGGAAAGCTATCACACAGCTTCTAGGTTGTAAATGAACTTTATAAAAGAAGAACTACTGATTTTTTTCTCATCTCTTATGCTTCTGGATAATGCAGCTGTGGACAACATGGTTGGGACTTCTGTCTAATGTTGCTTTGATTTCCTAGTTAACACCAGATGACAAAATGTACTCTTCAGTCAAAAAATCAGATACAATATAATTTAAGTCTTTGTTCTTTACTAATAACTGTAGTTAAATGGTTCTTAACTCAGTGAAGGGAAAAGGCAGAATTTATTTGATGGTAAACGTGTTTGATTATAAATATTCTAAGTTTGAGTTTTCAGTAGATGTAGAATATAATATGTGTGTATGTATATTCAGATTTTTACCATTTCAAAGAGGTAGAAGAAGAGCAGAGTTGTTCCTGTTTCTTGTCTTGCATATCTTCTGGGATACCTAATATTGCTTGATGAAAACTTTTTACTATGGAAACAAACCTTCATTAAACAGATAACCTTAAAAGAAATAAACACAAATTAGCAGGTTCATTTGGGATATCAAGGTTGTATAATTTTTAAGTGGGTGTGGTTTGTGATTCAGTCTTGAAATTATTAGATATATCTGTTATGCCTTGTGGTACAACTTCTCGTACTGGTTTATGATTGAGGTGTGAATTTGACATATTCTCACTTTGACTGTTCAGTTCAGTTGGGGTGGGGAGTAAATGTGAAGGTATTTTTCTTAGACATGTTTTCTTTTAGTCTTTTAGGTTGAGTTACTGTCCCATCTATTATCAATGGGTTGTTTTGGTTATGACTAATGAATATCTTTGCTTATAGAAAAAGGTACTTTATTTGGGAATAACATTTTTAAAAAATTTTTTTTTAGCTTTTTGAAGTGGTTCCACCCTCCCCACTTTCATTTCTTTAACATATTTTATACTTGACTTTTTTTTTTTTGTCTTTTTCCATGTCCGGCAATGGATCGCAACCCTCAGTGTTGCCCCCGTACCGGACCGGGGACCGGCAATGGGATCGCAATCCTCGGTGTTGCTCCCGCGCCTCGCTCACTGGCTGAGCGGGAACCCGTCTGTATGTGGGATCCGAACCCTCGGGCGGGAGCGCCGCCGCGCTTCCCAAGCGGCGCACTATCCAGTGCGCCACCGGGCCGGCCCATATTTTATACTTGATGTTATAAAGCATTTACTCCTTTTACACATAAGAGTCTCTAATATAATTTTTTTCAGGTCAGAGTTCTGTCTTTCTTAGAACAATCTGAAAATTCTTTAGAAAAACCATGTATTTGTGCAGCCTCATAATACCAAGGTCACGGGTTCAGATCCCCCTACTGATCAGCCACTCCCCCCACCCCCCAAAAAGGAAAGACCATTTATTTGTGGATTTCTTCAGTGTCTGGGGAATCCTGAATTTCTTTCAGATAACCATTTATTACAGTTTCTAATGTTTTAGCCCGATGTATATGCACTGTGTCTCTTTGAACTGTAGGACTGTAACATTAGTTAACCCTTTCCTCTGCCACATTTTGCCTCCTTAACCCCATTTTTATCCCCAGTTTTTAAAAAACCTTATTTACTTCTGATTTTTTGCAGACTCAAGAATGAACAATCCGTCAGAAACTAGTAAACCATCTATGGAGAGTGGAGATGGCAACACAGGTAAGAGTTCCCTGATCCAGCTTTTTGATTAGACCTAATAGAGCTAAAAGTAGAAACTTTCCACTTTACCTAGGATTTGTATTTGGTAAATACAGAACAGTTTGAATATTGAGTTGTCAAATGTGATTTAGTACTTACAAGAACTGGTATTGTGTTTAAGATTATCCAACTTTCTTCTGCAGATTGCTTCATCTTTTCACTTCCATCTATGACAGGAACTACAGAGTAGTACCAAGAACAGTTCTTTGGGTCAGATAGTTCTGGGTATGAATTATGGATTTGCCACTTACTAGCTATGTGACTTTGGACAATTTCCTCAATCTTTTTGAGACATAATTTATTTAATTATAAAATGGGGATAATATAATTCAAAGGTCATCGTGAGTATTAAAAGAGATGATGTATGTGAAGTGTTAAACAAGTGCCAACTATGTAGTAACCATTCAGTAAAAAGTTGCTCGTGTTATAGGTGTTAATAAAATAGTAAATCTTATCCATCCTACATTTGATATAAATTATATTAAAGTTATGACAGCATCAATAGGTAGTTATAAACACACACCCACATTTAATACATTTTTTAATTTGGTAATTTTTAAAAACATTTACACTTGATTAAACCTTTTATCAGGAGAAAATTAATTGTTGTGTAAATGAGAAAACTGAGGCCCATGAGAGAAAGGTAAATCCATAAAGGATAGTTTGTCTCCATAGCCCATAATCTTAATTCAGTATATGGTTCAGAGGACATTTGACTATGTATCTTTATCATCTGCCAGAGATACTACAGGGATTTCCCCAGTTTATAGCAAAGGTGTAAATTAAAATATTATACCAAATAACAAGGGAATTATGGACAGGGATGCACAGAAAGTTATTGTTTCTAAAGTAAACTAGGTTTTTCACTTCCAGAGAGGTTTTCTTCTTTGACCATCATTTGAAAAAATGCCTAACTGTGGGAGATGGTGAGAATGAGAGTCACTCTTTTGAAAACTATCTTTGTTTTCTACCTCTACTGGCCACAAAACTTCTGGGTTGGAGTAGAGGCGTGAGTGGAACCAGTGTGACCGTTTCTTGCCTGCATATCTTCTTCCATTGACACTGTCTTGTACCTGGAGATGCTTCTTAATCTTGTAATTGCTAAAACATACCTACCTTTTTGCATGAAGCTGAGCTGTGAGGTTTTCATGTTCAGCCCTGTTGTATTTAACATGTCTCATATTAATCTCAGGCTAGCCAAGCAGAGTACTATAATATCTCCTGAGAAGGGAACTGGGAGCATTATATTCTGCCTGAACTGTGAGACACAATCTCCTTTCAGTTATTTCTCTATCCCGTTTGGGACCCATCTGTTTTTATTTTATAGCACTGGTTCCTATGCCAGTACAGGTGCTTTGGCCACCTAGCTTAGGCGTAGGACTTGTTTGCAGAGAGAAACAGGGCAGCTGATCCCATTAAGAGGATAGGGGAGAGTGGGCAGGACACCCCTGACTAAAGAACAACCTCAAAGAAGAGGCATGCTTTTCTCTCTAGGGGAAGAGAAACAGACTCACAGAATGATTGGAGAACACTGAAAATATCCACTACATTGGGAATGCCCATGTTTAATTTAAAGCCACAGGGGTTGGTTGGTTAGCTCAGCTGGTTAGGGCATGGTGCTGATAACACCAGGGTCCAGGGTCTGATCCTGTACTGGCCAGCCACCAAAAAAAAAAAACCAAAAACAATACTTTAAGGCCACCACTATAATAGCTGTTTCAGTAGCTACTATTTATTGAGTACCTAACAACATTGATAAAACCCCGTGATATATTTTTTAAAATCTTAAGGGCTGTATGCATTATCTGATTTTAATTTAAGTTCTCATGCCAAGTTAGATATTATTTCAAAAAGTAGGAAATCGAGGCACAAAACCAGCCAGGAAAGGAAGGCAGGTTTAGGATTTGTACCGCATGTGATTGTCCTGATGAACTGGAACAAAATATAAATGAAAATTTAAGTAACTTTTTGTATATGTTTAGGCCTAAAACCATTTATACCAAGCTATCTATGTAAGATAAATTCTGACTGGAGTACTTGTTGAAATAGTCTTGTGAATTTCCTGACCTATTTTAACATGGAATACATGGCAGACTCGTTCTTATCATACAGCTGAGCAGCATCAATTCAGATATTTTACTTTTTAATGTCTCTAAAATTATGATTCTGTGGCTAACAACTGGTGCTTTCTTAGACTTCTTTACTTGCATCACCAGCAATGGCAGTTTATTTTTTCTCATCAATTCAGATATTTTACTTTTTAATGTCTCTAAAATTATGATTCTGTGGCTGACAACTGGTGCTTTCTTAGACTTCTTTACTTGCATCACCAGCAATGGCAGTTTATTTTTTCTTTTCCCTACAAAAAGAGAAAATTTGTATTGCTTTTTTGTAAGGGTTACTGCTACTGCCATAATTATAGCAGCTAGATCAAATGCGAGATGATCAGCCATCTTAACTCTAAAGCATAGAGACTGACTTCCTGTTTGTCTGCTGCAGCATTTGTTGCCTTACTAATATTACAAATTATTTCCATTTTACGGACCTTTACATTCACTTGAGAATAACACCTCGATTGTCAATTTCCCAAATGTTAAGGGTCTGTCACTATATTCTTAGCATAGCCTTCTAATGTCAATTTGTTAGTTTAGGAATACAGAAATACATTTGAGTTGTAGTTTGCATATTAAATTACTATGTTTGATATACTAGATACAAAATTACAGTTTATTTAGATAATTACATGGTTACAAATTGATTTTTATTTAAAAGTATAACATGTGAACCTGCAGATTGTTTGTTATTTATTTGTTTTATTGTTAGTAGTTTAATTATTAGCTTTTGGTAGTTATGGAAAACAAGTAAAAGTTTTAATGGAAAAACCCTTAGCATTATAATATAACTGGATCCAGAATACTTTTGTGTAGATCATTTTTCTTGAAACATTTACAGTTGTAATAATTTTGATTTGTGGGATTTTAAGGAAAATGATACTGTAAAATTATTTGTGTTGATACTTCTTTGCCTTTCATCTGCCAGAGGGATTTATTTAAGTTGAGAAGTTAAATCTGACAAAGCACTCTTGTCAAATAGCCCTTATTTGTTCACAGAAAATCTGTAGCTTTGGTTTGTTATTTATTCAGTAAGTGCCAGTTCTATATGTAAAATATTATAATTGATGTTGTTAGAAGATATAATGGAAATAGATGAGATAACCTCAGTCTTCAATCCATTAAGAGAGAGGATAGATATACAGATAATTGATTCTGGATAGGTTATGGTAAGTAATTCAAGAGGAGTTATAGAAAAATGCTATAGTATAGGACAGGTGTAAGGAACCATCCGAATGGAAGAGAGTGAAGAAAGACCACTGATGGAACCAAGGTAAGGGAGAATAACTGGAATCAAAAGTACAGAATGAAGAGTTAACATTGAAAATGAAAAAAGATATACAAATTGATATAATTCTCTAAAATTAGAAAAAAAGGGAAGATTAAACGACAGAAAATTGAGTGGAAGAAAGAAGGAAAACTGAGGAATGATTTACCTCAGATTGCCTCATTTTTCTCATAAAAGTAGTTCAGATGTTCATCTGAGAGGAAAGCAGGAATAATAGTAATATTAATAATGGCAGCAGCTACCATTTTTTGAATTCTTACTATAGGTGCGTGGCTAGCTGCTTTATTACATATACATTATATCATAACTGTTAAAATACCTTCTATAAGGTAAGTAAGGTTATGCCTGTTTTCATGTAAGGCAACTAAATTCAGAACAGTCTAGTAATTAGTGATTGGAAGATTATGAGCTTTTCAGTACCTCACACTGCCTTGCTAGGAGAAGGTTGAATGAAATGGGTTTGGGGTTAGAGCAGACATAGTTATCTTTAAGGAATTGATTGAAATAAATAAATTGAAACAATTGATAAGCTTGTTGATGGTCAAGCTCAGATTGAAGAAAATAAATGTGTAGCTTATCTGGCTAACTTGGTTACATGACCTTTCCATAGCCTAGCTCACCAGTCCACAGTCAGGATTGAAGAAAATGGAAGATTGGATTATTTTGCCAAAATAATATCCTCTAAACAAAAAACCCATCCAGATAAGAGGGAATGGTAAGGGTCTTCCTTATAACATAGTTGTTTGCACAAGGATGCTGACGAGGATGCTTCCTTTGGGGAAGGAAATAACTCCCCATTTTTTCTTCCCCCCCCCCCAACTTTGGTAACTTCTAATCTACTTTGTCTTTGAATTTGCCTATTCTCGATATATTGGTGTAATCATATAATATCTATCCTTTTATGTCTGACTTATTTCACTTAGCATGTTGTTTTCAAGGTTCATCCGTGTTGTAAAATGTATCAGAACCTCATTACTTTTTTATAGCTGAGTAATATTCCATTGTGTGTATATACCACATATTGTTTATGCGTCATGTGTTGATGGACACTGAAGTTGTTTCTGCCATATAGCTATTATGAATAATGCTGCAATGAACTTTGGTGTACAGGTATATGTTTTTGAGTCCTTATTTTCAATTCTTTGGGATATTTACCTAGGAGTGGAATTGCTGGGTAAAGCAAAAACACCACAAATTTATTATCTTATAGTTCAGGAGGTTAGAAGTCCTAAAATCAGTTTGTTGGAAGAGCTATAGTCTTTCTGAAGGCTCTATGGAGAGTCCATTTTCTTCCCTTTTCCAGCTTCTTGAAGCCACCTGCATTCTTCAGTTCAGGAGGTTAGAAGTCCTAAAATCAGTTTGTTGGAAGAGCTATAGTCTTTCTCAAGGCTCTATGGAGAGTCCATTTTCTTCCCTTTTCCAGCTTCTTGAAGCCACCTGCATTCTTTGGTTTGTGCCTCTTTCCTCCATCTTCAAAGCCAAATGTATAGTATCTTCAAGTCTTAGTCTCTCTCTCCCCACCCAGTACCTCCCCCTAACCTCATCTTCTGTCATCACATCTC